GGTCACAACATCCGCCGGTGTCCCACTGCACCCATCACTTGTCTGGATTGTAAGTCTTCTTCCCAGAAAATTGTCCCAGGAAAAAAAAATCATCTGGACACGCAAAGAGCAAAGGCAAATCTCAGTGGATTACTGATGTAGTAGAACCTAACACCGAGTTTCTCTCCTCTTCAATCCCGAATGAAGGAGCTGCCATTGACTTGGGTTCAGTAGCAGTTATTGATGCAAGTAAGAATGTGGACGTCGTTCATTATTCAGAAGCGAAGGAGCTGCCTTCTTCAGACACGAATGTGATGGCTACTCCCGCAAAGGTTTTTTCAATTATCACTACCTCGGCTTCAGTTGTCCAATCTAGTGCTAATTCTTTTCGCAAAGCTTCTAGTTCAAATAAATTTGCAGTGCTCGATTTAGCATCGGATGTGGTACTGCCAGATGATTCAGAAGGAGATTTTTCTTCCGGGTCGGATGATTCAGATGAGGATCTCATTTTGAATCTTAAGTCATCATTTTCAGAAAAATATCTATATTGCAGACCGTTGCAATTCCCGATCAAGGCAATAAATATGGGTCGTGGAGGAAGAGGAGGGGGAAGATGCGGTCGAGGGAATCGGGGTCGACGAGGTGGGTTTGGCTGAACCCATTTTATCGATTCATGTTTCTAATCGTTTATTGTCTCGATAGTTGTCATGTTTTGGCATCTTTTGTTGTGCTTTGTTACTCATTGCCGCTTTGTTGAATTGTACGATTACTATCGTACTGTCTTGTAACGGTTTTCTTTATAATAATAAATTTTAAAAAAAAAAAAAAAAAAAAAAAAAAAAAAAAAAAAACGATAATTAGTTATAATCAACTTCTTTAAATTTTGTTATGAATTAGATTCTAATAATTGATATTATATATACTCTAGTTAAAAATTAAAAAATAATAAAAAATAAAAAATATTATACTCTAGTTAAAATTTTCATAACACAAAAGCGACTCTGATGTGATCGGAGTGAAAACTAATAACACTCAACATTTTTTAAATGATGCATAATAATGCTAAAACCTAAAAACATGTTCAATGCAAGTTTCACACCATAGTTTCTCAACTACAAAAAAAATATTAAAATAATAAATAATAATATTTCGTTATTACTTTTATTAAATTAGAGACTTTTATTAAAGTAACAATAAAATAATAAATAATAATATTTAGTTATTACTTTTGTAGGTGAGAAATTTTGTTGAGAGATTTACATTGCACAACTCTAAAATACCATAATTTTTCATGAAATTATGTTCCTATATTACAACTATGTGTTTTTCTGATGTGTGAGGATTTGTATATTTAATTCAAAGATATTTGCATAATGGTCTTACTTTTTTATATATTAAAAGAGAAACATTGGGAGTTTTTTTTTTAAGATGTGGGGCCATGTGGGTATGACAATTTTCTCGGTAACTTTAATTTATTTTAATCACCAAAATACTATAGTGGAATGTTGTTTTTGCTTTAATTAATGTGAGTCTGGGACTAGTTTTTTTATTTATTTTAATAAATGTGTTATATATTTCTCTTTGCAATATTCTTGTTTATTGTTTTTTTTTTGGCATCGATGTTGTTTCATGTACCAACTGAAATATATAAAGGGAATAAGCATCTAATCGACTAATCACTTTAAAATACTCCATATACTAATCAAATACTCCATAAGATAGTCCAATGATTCACCACTAACTTAAAAAACTGTATAAATCGGATTCCCACTTTTCCTAAAGCCTTGTGACCGGCTGTGCCAATTTAAAAAGATTTTAAGTTGTAATTCATTTATTATGTTATGGTAAAATTTGACTAAAATTATACTAAAATCATGGTAAATTGTTATATAACTAGATTATAACCCGCGGTACACCGCGGGACTATATATTTTTTTTAAATAAAAATTTAATTTGTTCAGTAGATTAAAAATATATATGATATAATGTTTTGTATTTTTTAAATGTACAATTCTTATATCTATATATTTTAGTGTACAATTACTAATTTTTACTGTTTAAAAATATAGAAACAATAACATACAGTTCATTAAGTTAAAATCTAGATTGTAAATATATAATTTAAATTTTAATTATATTTATTTTGTTAAAATTGTTTGTTTTGTTTAGTGTTTAAGATAGTATAATTGTATTTTGATTGTTATATCTAGGATTTCACCTGTAGTATACAGTCTCATATTACTATCGACCCAAACCTGTCCTACCATCTAATACCGTTCAGTGAAATTAAACATATCTAATGGATTTCACCCGTGGTATACCGTCTCGTATTACTATCGACCCAAACCCGTCCTACCATCTAACCCCGTTCAGTGAATTAACATTATTTTATTATTTTTATCTCAATATACTTATCTTAAAAGATATA